TGTTTACTAAGTGCAGATTATTTCATTGATAACAAGTGAAACTCACTTAACACTTTACTTTTGAACGATGCGAAAGACTATTTTCGAATTGGCTTTAAAAATTAAAAAAAAAACTATATTTTAAACCACACGATTGGTATGCGTTGTCTTTGACTAAGTATAAAATGAAAAAGTGCTTCTTCTTCCTTGTCAGCTCAACAGCCTCTTGGCTGCCTCAACAGCTGACAATTGCCAGCTCCTCCTATCCAAGACTTCTCCCTTCCAATTTCTAATCTTTAGGGTTTTCAGATCATTTTCGATGTCATTGAGCCATCTAGTAGGGGGTCTGCCTCTGGGACGTGATCCCTCGAGGTTTTTAAAGATGACGATTCTCATGGGGCTATTTTCAGGGCTTCTCCATAGATGGCCAACCATCTCAACCTATTACTGCGGATTATCAGTGTAATTTTGTGCTGCTTATAGAGTCGGTAGAGCTAGAAGTTACATATGGTTCACCAGTATCCTCTTTCTTGAATTGCGCTGAAGATGGCTCTGAGAATCTTCCTTTCGAAGGTGTCCAGTGTCCGCTGAATATCCGAATTTAGTGTCCAAGTTTCGCTTTCATAAAGTAGCACAAGAAGCATGAGTGCCTTATAGAGTTTTAGCTTTGTTTTTCGACTGAGAAGATACGGAGTTGAACATTAGTAGTCGTAAACCCAAAAATTGAGTCGGCTGTTAAATGGCTGTTATAAAACAAAATTAAAAAGTCTAAATTTATGTAAGATTCGATAGTTAAAAGTACTTTTTATCAAAAGTAATTGTGTTAACTAAAATGCTTACTAAGTGCTGATTATTTAATTGATAGCGAGTGAAACTCCTTTAACACTTTACTTTTGAGCGATGCGAAAAACTATTTTCGAATTGACCTTAAAAATAAAAAAAATATAAATTATATTTTAAACCATACGATAGGCGTGCGTTGTCTCTGATAAAGTTTAAAATGAAAAAGTACTTAATCTTTGATAAATTTATGACCAAAAAATAATAATGAGCTGTTTGGAACTGTCTTTAAAAAAGGAATTTTGAGTAAAAGGATTTTTGTCTATTAATTTTTAAATTTTTCTTCTTTGATACTTTCTGTTCATATAATCAAAATAAGCCACACTTTTTGTTTTTATAATAAATGCAATTCATTAAAAAACTACAAGTTACTTTAAATAAATAATATCAAGAAACTGAAACGGTAAGATATTACCTGATTAAAAAATTCCGTCCCTTCAAAAATATACAGATTGAAAATAACATTCGACATATTTCAAGCGCTTAGAAATAGGTGCCCATTTTTTAGATTTGCCAGACGTGAATAAAAAGAGACTAAACGATGTGAAATATAAAATGTAAAGTTGCCATAAAAAATGGAAAATAAAGGTGAGAAACAAAATTAGAAAGAAATAGTGGGATACTGAGGTTACTGCATGTACCATTATATTTATTTGTACTCCTATCAGTATTATGTTGAATAAATTTATGACAACTCCCTTATAGTATATCAAAAACTAAAACTAAACTCAGCGGCGCGACAGCCCCAGAGAGGCCATATCTCGATTCTTACTCACGCGATTTTAATATTAATTGCTGACTTTCGAATTTAACTAAACTCAGTGGTACGACAGCCCATAGTGAGCCGAGGCCTACTGTGCCCATCTCAGTTTTCTTGACCTTGGGCTCTGGGGTGCAGAAGCAGATGTTCCGGTCAGGTGGTCAGCCGAACGCGGAACCCCCAGTGTTTAGTTCCCAAGCATGCCTAGTATTCATATATCGACCCACTGAAGGGATGAAAGACTGAGTCAACCCTGCCCGCCCCGAGGATCGAACCAGGGACCTGTGGCACGGCAGCGCGAAGCGCTACCGCTCAGCCACCGGGCGACATAGTATATCAAGTTTTTACAAATTTGACAGTTCAACTTTACAATTTTACCTCACCGTAAATATGCATTGATTCTGCTCTTTTTATACTACCTCTCAATTATGTAATTAATTTTCGATATTTTGTTGTAGTTATTTTTGATATATAAAAAGCATTTATTGAAAGATTTGTGCTTTGACTTCTACTAAATATAATTTATCATTGAAATTATTTGATAATCCAAATCAATTCAGTTATAAATAATGAGCTGTCCCTCAAATATCCCTTTTATTTAACCCTTCCCTTTATCGCAGCCACTCGACAAACACTTTGCTAGTCTTAATACTCCATCTTTTATGTTCCAATATCAGAGGGTAAGTGTCCCCTCTCTTTTGCACGCCAATCCTTGATTTTTGGTGGGGGGAATAAAACAGCATATCTAATTAGCCTAATGTCATAAATGATGCTATATTAACGAATATCAGCATCATTTATGACAACATGGTCATTGAAAATTTCAACAAGAGAGTGCATGAGCGACAGCAAGGTCCTCGTTATCATCTATCATAATATGCTGTTCCTTATCTAACTTTATATTACATATTTTATAAATTAATAAAATTTTGATTAGAAACCCGTGTTTTTCTATCAAAGTTACTTTATGTATGGAATTTCTCTCATTGAAACACGAAAGAGTAATTTTAAAATTAAACATCTCTTTCAAACTAAATGTGCTAATTGATATTACAATTAAGGATTTTTTTCTAGATTATATAAAAACATCGATAAAATTTAAAAGACCTCCCTTTGACGTTTGGCCAGTAAAAAGTTCATTTTGCGCATAGAAAAAATATGATATATATTTTAGGAAACGTAAGCTTTATTGTTATTTTTTTCTTTGAAATTGTTTGGAACTAAAGCCAAGGTGAGATGGGAAAAAAATATATTCCTTTTTTAAAAGTAAGTATACCAATCGTATCAACCAATTGTATTTTATAATACGAAACATTAAACATTTGATCTTATTAATATTTTTGATAAATATTTTTGATAAAAACATTAAAAAAACGTAAAAATAACCTGTTACAATAAAAAAAAAACATTGAAGAGTTTTACATTTATATAACGAGGTAATCTTAGAATGTATCTTTTTTCATAAACCTAAAATATGAGTTAGAAGAACTACATAAGTCATTTATAAAATTTTTTTAACATTCATTCTTAAAAAAGACGGTTTATCGTTGCACCATAATATTAGTATCTTGAACCACATTATGATGAAAGTTACTGCTTCTAAATAGGCAGTTAGATTTAATGCTGTTTCTGCTTAAATTTAACCATAATATCGGGTAATGAAATATGGTTTGAATTAGCTCTATATTAAGGTTGCAGCAAATGACTCAGCTCGCTCCGATTTTTTTTGTGAAATGTTTACAATATTATTTATTATGTCAACTAATATTAAAGAAGAAATAGAATTATAACTAGGAAATTTTTTTTTTTAACTTTCACTCTCACAACAATCAGTTCAACCAAAATATCGGTACCCTATAATTAGCCTAAAAATAACATTTTTCTTTTATTTTTTTTCTATTTCTGCTCAAATATAACCATAATATCGGGTTATCAATGAAATATGGTTTGAATTAGCTCTATATTAAGGTTGCAGCAAATGGTCAGCCTGCTCCGATTCTTTTTTGCGAAATGTTTTATATATTATTTTACATGTCTACTAATATCAGAGAAGAAATAGAATTACAAGAAGATAATATAATTTTTTTGTTTTCACTGTCACAACAACCAGTTCAACCAAAATCTGGAGATATTTTGAGATTAAAAACTGCATTATATATAGTATTTATTTTTTGTAAAATATTGAATGCAACAAACGTTATGAAGGAATTTTGAACACAATATTAATGCAAGAATGTTAACCATTACTAACTCCATTTAGGTTACTTAAATATACACTTGAAATGTGTTACAAACTTCCCTTTTAAGGTAAAGAATAACAAAGGAAGCATGAAACAAAGATATTTTCTGGAGATATTATGAGATGAAAGACTGTATTATATATATATTCATCGAATTTATTTTTTGTAACATATTGAATGCATCAAACGTTATGAAGGAATTTGGAACACAATATTAATGCAAGAATATTAACCATTACTATCCTTGCAGCCATGTATTTCATTCTTTAAAAATGTTCCTAAATTTGTTCATAGCTTTTGTTCCCCGAAAATAAATATTTAAATAAAATAAAGTTGAAGATGACAGGATTAAAAATATCAAAACCTACATGTTTTCCGGAGGAAAAGCTGGGAAAGGTGATTAAGAGAAGCGACTTAAATTTTCAGACAATCAAACTGGTTTTTAATCTCGCTTTATTCAATAATGAGTTGTCAGATTTCAATGACGATTTTACGTTTTCATACCCTAAATACTAGTTTGAGATGTTTGAAGTGCATGCTTTTGTTACTCCATTTTGAGCAAGGATTTTAAATATATATTTTAAGGGTTGTACTATGTAAATACTTTAAACGCACAAATAATCTAAATTAATAACATAAATATCCAAGAGATTTGACCAAGAACAACATCCAAAACTAAATATTTAGGTCTTAAAAAAATTACCAGCAACACTTTTTTTCGAAAATTTTTAAACTGAAAACATGATAGTAGTATATATGTCAGCTAAATAAAATCATTAAAAACTGTTAATAATCCCAAATGCCTATTCAAATACTCCTCAAATCGTGAAAAACATATATTTATACTCTTTATTGTGTAAACTGTTGAATGTAAATGCATTAACGGTAATTAAATAAGTATCTTGCGATTTTGAAAGGAAATTGAAAGGAAAACACAACCATTTCTACAAGAATTTTAACTGTTTTCTTTAACAAATTTATAATTTTCAACCAGATGATTCTTTTCTTATCGTTTACACCATGTTAGGTTTGGAAATTTAATATTCACAGCTTCCGCTTTCAGTTTGCAAAACATATTTAATCAGCTTCCATGAAAGCGCATTCGGAATGTTAAATGCATTCTTTTCTCTTGGCGATCGAATTGGCTTGTCTCAGCCAAATGCAGGCGACCTAAAGGAATTCGGAAATTCCAACAGTTCTACTATAACCACAGCTGCAGCTGAAGATTGAAATGAAAGGTTGTTTATCGCTTGTTCTTGAAATTCATTTCACTGTTTATAAGCAATAATAACGGTTTAATCATTAATTTGTGCAGCTTATAAAGCAACTATTTTCAGTGGATAATTGCAAAACACATTTCATATCTGGAATTATATTTGTTTTGACCATGTGATCGTTGAACTTTTAATTTCTTCCAATTAATCGAATTTATATTCTTCTAACTTCTTAGCTAGTGAGTTTTATAGCAACTGAGAGGTATGCAAATTATATTTATTTTAAAATGCATGCATTCAAAACCATCACAGAAAAATCTCTGATTTGCTTAATTCGTAAATTATATCTTACACAAGCTAAGGGCATTGTAAATAATGTATTTTTTGAGCATGAATGCAGCAATTTTTAAATTAATTATTAAATTAATTTTGTTAATCCGCAATTATTAAATTAATTTTGTTAAATTAATTAAATGCTTATGTAATTTGAAATTATTTGGTTTTGAATTGGTAACGAGTTGAAATATGTTGGTAACTATCACCCTTTAAAAGATTATTTTATGCTACAAATTAAGGAAGTTTTAATTATCAATATTTAAATGTATTTATTATATTTTTCTTAACTTAAATATGAATGGAATTCTTAAAATGAATATAATGTAACGAGATAATTTTTAAGGAAGTTGATTAGTTTCACAAGAAAGCAAAAAATAAAATCCAGATTGGGTTAGGAACTTAAATTTTTGAACAAATTTTCGCCCAAATTCAAAAATATTCGAATAAATTTTAAAATATTAGCTAATATAGCAGCTGAAGAAAAGAATTCTTGCACAATGTAGCATATTGTGACAAAAAAAATTATTTATCGAAAAATAATTTTAAATGAAATAATGATAAATGTCTTAAGTAAAAAAAAAGGTTCTGACGGGGACATTATTTTTGAGCCATCTTTCTCTAAATATTAAAAATATTTTGAAGTAATTTTTAAAAAATTTCTTGTATAACAGTTGCTATGTTTTAAACTAAACAATTTATTAAGTTACTTGTAATTACGCACTTAATGCATGGTTACTGTACAAATTTCGATACCTTCGATTCGTCTACTCTGTTCAATTCTTTTTACATTATATTATTAGTGTATACATTTTATTATATACATTTTATAGCATACATTTTATTACATACATTTTATTATATATATTATATTATATTATTAGTTATTAAAAAACAGTCAAAATTAAGTGACTCATTTTTTTTCTATACCCTTTAAAGAAAGCAGTTAGGGGATTTTTCTAAAATTTTTTTTAACCAATTCTTTTAGTTTTACAAGACACATGCATCTTTAAAGTTATTCCTCTTTTCAGTACGTTAATAAAAACTCTATTAAAACCAACATATACCAGTAGCAACAAAAAATGTGTTAACTTTTATTTTATTTTATTACTCTTCGTCTTGCGTGCAAAGCAAAATTAGTAATCTTTATCTGATGAGCAATTCTCATCATCAGATATGGAAACACTTCCCGACTCTCCGATAATTTTTCCTGAATTTATGTTATTCTGTTTTTCAAACCTGTCTAACCAGCCATTCGAGCACATAAAAGTAGTCTCACTAAATCACTAAACAAATTCATCGGCTTAGACTTGAAGCATTAGTCCAGATACTGAAAGATTGCGGCTTCTTTGAATGCTGAACCAATTCAATAATGCTATTCAATAATGAAGCAAACAAGAAAAAAATGCTTGCTGCTACATTCCATGCTATAGATGTTTTTAAAAATCGGTATATGTATTCATTTTGAAGTAGAAATTTCAAAATTATTGCAGGAAAATTAAGAAAAAACAATCGAAGACAGAAAAAGGTTCTTAATATCCAGCTTCCTCTTTTTATTCAGTTCACTATATCTACAAAAAATATCACTATACGTGTGTAGCAAGGCAGGGAAGCGAACATTTCATTCACTATAAACGGGAGTTCACTATAGCAAGGTTTGACTATATACATACATACATACATACATACANTTTTATTTATTTAAAATAACAGGGGTTTTGTTAACATTATTTTAACAAAGGTCATTTTAATTTTTACTACCTTTAAGAAGTTTGTCTTTAAAGTCCATAATATAAAAAAATAAAAGAACGATAAATAGACAATCTTCTGATCAACGATTCTTGACAAATAAATTTTAAATATAAAGAAATTTCCTTATTTTAGCAGTTTTTATTTCCTATAAATTAAAAAATATATATAATATAGTACGAATTACAAAAGACATAAGTCTAGACTTATGTCTTTTGTAATTCGTACTATATTATATATATTTTTTAATTTATAGGAAATAAAAACTGCTAAAATAAGGAAATTTCTTTATATTTAAAATTTATTTGTCAAGAATCGTTGATCAGAAGATTGTCTATTTATCGTTCTTTTATTTTTTTATATTATGGACTTTAAAGACAAACTTCTTAAAGGTAGTAAAAATTAAAATGACCTTTGTTAAAATAATGTTAACAAAACCCCTGTTATTTTAAATAAATAAAAAAAGATTCGAGGAACATTTTCTACCGCTAGTTAATTTCGGTACACTGATTATTTTTCCAGTGGATTAAGAACTTAATATATAGTCACGCATGGATAAAATATTTTATTTAAGCAGAGACAGTTTTCGTCACAACAGAATTTCGTCTTAAATAGTCCATGCCAGATATTTTGGGGATATTGAGTTTTTCGGATTCTAATTGCGTTGAATCTTCCCGACTTTTAATATCGATTCATCTAACATCATCTGTATAATGCAGTGGTTTTTATTTTTCGGTCTTCACCAATGTTTGACCGAAACAGTACTTCAAGAAAAAGCTGCTGGAATGTTATAGTCAGGTCTCGTATTTTGCTCGTTTTTCAATAAAAAACAAAAATAAAATAAAAACGATTGATAGTGCGGGAATGTATCTTTGTTTATTGCATTCACAAATAAATTACCTTTTTCTCAAACATCCATATAAACAAAATTCATTATAACCATTATTCATTATAAACAGAAAATGCGAGAAAACAAAATCCGAGGGTTGATTTAGACTTTTTTTTGTAAAATGTCCTATTTTGTAAAAATCTGAGATCCGTTCCTGAGATAAAAATCTGAGATCCGTTCAGGCTTTTGGTGAAAGTTCCTGTTTTTATGAGTTTGAAAAATCTACTCATAGTTTTCTGAATCTAAAATCAGGACTAAATCTGTTTTTTTAGCCCGACTCCTGTTGTTGTGAATGTGGTCATTTTTTTGTGAAAGATACGATAAAAACTATCTGTTTTAAACAGTAGAAATTTTAATCTAATGACATCAGCGAATCTGTTTTTCAAAGCAGGAATTTTAAGAAAGGTTCATTTTCAAGACAAAAATATTGAGATACCGTTTTTAGGATTAAATACTTTGTTAAGGGTGTTTTTTTAATGAAATAATTTCTAAAGGGACCCATTTTTACAACAAAATGAATTAAAAAAGGGTCCATTAACATACCCAAATTTTACCTAAATTAACTCCTGTTTATGTATAATTTTTGAATTTATAATTTCAATAACTAAGAAATAAATAAAATGAAGGCATTTAAATTGCTTGTTTTATAAGTGGCTAAAAAGCGCCAGGAGAAGTTTATCTTAAGGAGAAACGCGGGAGAGGTTTCTTGATCACGTTCGGTCGTAAGTAGCTTTCGCAAAATATTTGTTTGATTTTTATCCCTATAATGTAAGTGCATCTTTATCTCAATATTTTACGGTTATGATTTTAATAAATGTATACAAATTTTCAGGGAATATATTTTACGAGAATGCACTAATGCCATTTTTTTTGTATTTGACCTTTTTTACGGGACTTTTTTCCTATGTCATAAAGAGAGGGAAATTCTAAATATGAGAAGGTCAAATATCACGTAACCTTAATTGTGGCAATATTGAATCCCCCTCCCCCTTGGCAACAGAAATAAGCTTTTTGCAAATTCCCCTCTAATGCTGTACAACGAAAAATGCAGCACCCCTCCCCTGGTTTTTACTTTGACGCTTGCAGAATGATTCAGTGGCGAATGGGTACATTGAATAAAGAAACCGTATTTAATAACAAACAAAAGTAATAATAATAAACAATAAAACAATATGATAGTACGAAATAAGGCTTTCCAATAAGCCACCCAGTTCGATATATTGCCTGCCACACAAGTGATTACAGAATTATATGAGCGATTACAACGCCATCTTTTGGTCAGGCAGAAATTCGTAGCAGACGATAGTAATCTAGTTTTAGGATTAAATTCTAATAAAACGATACTATTTTGCATTAAGCAAAGTTAAAATTTTAATTCCTTTTAAAAAGTTTTGAGTCAAATATTCTTAAAAAAACTTTTCTGTTCACCTCCGAAACACTTCACTAACTGTAGTAATCTAGTTTTCTGATTAAATTGTGATAAAGCAATGCAACTTTGCATTAAATGAAGTTAACGTTTTAACTCTATTTAAAAAAAATTTTTTTTGTAGAATATTCTTAAAGAAATTTGCATTTTCCTTTTGGGTTCACCTCTGAAGCTCTTGATTTTGTTTTTCTTTCCACGAATTCTTTTATTACACATTTTAAATTTTCCCGTGTATAATTTTTTTGCTCTTTAAGAAAATTTTAAAAATAAGGGAATTTTAATGTCTTTTGCCCCTTGTCAATAATTGAACGGCCCCAATATGCTATGTAATTTTCACAAAAAAACTAATGTTGTTTATTTGCTCTAGCTTGTTATATACAAGGTCGTTACCCTATAAAATTGGGTAAATGCATTCAGGAATGATTTATTGTTATGACCAATAAAATTTTGCAATCAGCATTTTTTGTAAGGTAAATTATCTATATTATCTTTTTTTAGATTTTTGATTTTTGCATGATTTACTTTATGCGAAATTTTTACATATTTTAGACGATTACGCAAAATTTCGATGTGAAAAAAAGCTGCAGTTTTGTTTAAAAAGTGTTTTTCATCTTAACTTTAATGCATGAAAAGTAACTGCAACACTGCATTCTTTTCTTAAAAATATGAAAAATAATTCATATAAGTATGCAAAAATTGAGAATTATTGATTGATTTCTCCCCAGGGAATCTCGCCCAATTGTCAATTTTTTAAAAACTTCTTCATATATTTAAGAGGTGTATCATTTCATAAGGTCAATATCATTTTTGACAGTTGTTGTTAAAATTGTATTTAAATTGGCTCAGATTTTGGCGACTACAATTT